CCTTCCCAGGCTTCCCTTCTCCTTTCCTTCAAGGCCCCTAGAAGGGGCTCCACATGAAAATCACATCTGCAATGCTGTGTATATCCTGGTCCATGACACTGCCCACTGCCTCCCTCGGGTGCCCCTTATGAAGCCCCCTGCTTGGTGAGAAATGCCCAGGAGAATTCAAGGTAAGGAACAACATTGTTTCCCCTGGGAAACAATGGGCTGGGCTGTTTCCTCATTCTAGGTCATCCAGGTTCTACAACTGATCATGTTTCCCTTTTCGATGTGGCCACAAGGAAGCTCAGAGTCACATTCGCAGGTCAGAGGCAGCAACCGTATTAACCCAGCTGGTCTGGCTTCTACGTTGGTTTGGTTACTCTTCATGCCTACATCTAGTTACACTTTCTATTGGTTTTAGTCCGCGGTGATAAGTAATAGTTGACTGGGTACCTGGAACAGCCCGGAACGCTGTATAAATACTTTCATTGTATCAGCTCACACAACCCCCCAGGTCCCCAGAAGTGGTGCTGCTGTCACTCCCAATGTAAGGGTGAGGAAGTGAGGCTATTGTCCCACAGTCAGCGGGTGGCCAGCTCACATTGCTCAGACTTTGAGCCCTGCTCTTAACCGCTTTGCTTTCCAGAAGGTGGAGCTCATCTCTCCGTGTCTGCACCACCCCTCCTCCTGCCCCCCCAGGACACCAACTCATTGCTCCCCTTGTCCTAGCCCCTCCAGGGATCTACCTCCCTGCCCTTCTTTTCAGGACATCTGGTTGAGGTCTGGGGCACATGGTTCATCACAGCCCAGGCAGGCAGGTGAGCCTGTGGCCAGTCTGTCCCCCTTTCTGCCCTCAGCTCCCCCAGAGAGCCCAGGAAGCCCAGGGAGCAAACGAACTCCCCTGGCTGCCTCCCAGATTCAGCCTGTGACCCTGAACTTACACCCATTTAGAATAAGGCCTGGAGTTGAGCTGTTCTGAGGCCCCTGGGACAGACTCCCCAGGTCATCGAGACAGTGTCCTGCCTCCAGGCCCCCTCCTCCCTAGCATCCCTGCCTGGACATCTACGGGACACGTATGAAGCAAAGGACGCCTTTGTTTCTCTTTATGGCCTTAGCGCACCTTCCCAGCAGTCCTGAGAAGTGGGCAGGGCAGGTATTATCATCCCCATT